CTTATTGATGAGAACTTGGAATCATGTCTAAAATTAACAACTTAACCTAATTTATATTTAATGAAAAAAAACAAGAAAACTACTAGTACTCAAAAAATGTATCAATTCAAATTCTATTTTTTTTTATTTAATTACATAATTTTCTATAAAAAAATGCAGACCATAAGAATAGTAATAAAAATTGATATAAGAAAAACTAAATAGATTTTAAATATAGTTTAATTGCCAAAATTTCAATAGCAAAAAGAGAACAGAGAATTCCAATACTTTTAAATTTTATATATATTTTAGAGTATTATTTGTGTAATTTATAGAATTAATTAACAATTATATTTTTTTTTAAATATTTTTATAAATATTATTTTCATATTTAGAATAAACATTTCTAATAATCACTTTGTTTTTCTTAAACAACATTATATGAATAAAACATCTTATAATAATTACATTAATTACGCAAAGTTGATTAAGATTTACTATTTTAGTTAAGGTTAATCTAGTGAAGAAATAATCAATGTATTTATTGATATAATAAAGCAATCGAATAAACTGTGAGAAATAATACATGAAAATTAATGATTCTCATAAGCAATTAAAAAAAATGCGTCAGCAATGTATAAATAAAACATTATTTTTCTCTCAGCGCGATTTTTATTGAAAACAAATGCAAATTGCAGCAATCCATTGATGAGTTTAAAACAACAACAACAAAAAACTATCATTGACTCACTTTCACTGCATCATATATGCATTTCAAACCTAATATAGTTAAGAAAGAATGAACGCAGGGCGGGTTCGCTTACTTTTATTTTGTAACGAGGAATGCGTTCCATGACCATTATGTGCGACGACGATGATGATGATGATGATATAAATGGAGCATCATAATGCATGTAATGTGATGTGGGCAAATGTTGTGTTAGAGTAAGAGAGGAGAAATAAAGAGAGAGATTGAGAGAGAAACCTGATTTTGCCCTACTAATAGTGCAGTTCGCATTAACGGTAACTCACTCTCCGCACTTATTATTATATAACAGCGTTCGCCGCGCAGCGGATTGCTGTGTTCTGTTGACCCATGTCATGCAGTCACCGCCGCGGAATCAATGATTTTGTAACGAAATTTACATTCCACGCCCAGGCCATAAATTACACGCATTATAAACAAATAAACTGCTACGGCGTATAAATTTCACACCATAATCCGATTCACCAATAATATTACCAAATAAAATTTGATTCACGCGTATAATTTCACAAATTCCTCCTATAAATTTCTCATATAAAAAGTTTTACCTATCAGTATAAATAATTTTAGAAAATAATCTTAATATTTTTAATTTCCTGTACAGAAATAAAAAAAAAAGGAACGGATTCGTTTCGTAACAATAGCCTCGGCAATTTTAATATGTAATTTTCTAACGCAAACACACGTGTCTATCTTGTATTATTTTTCTGTTTTCGGCAAGATTTATGGGCCATGTAATTCCCTCCTGCGGCCGATAAATTAGTCGAAATTTGAATTTTTACTGCTGGAATATGCTAAACTTTCAATTGTTTATCCTGTTTCATTTATGTCATCGCATTATGTCATCTCGCGGAATTATTCAGCTCGGTCGAAATTCGTTTGTTTTGTGGAAAATATTGGGTTCGGGTGAGTCGCAGCAACATCGAAAGATCATTTCTTATTAAAAGGCAAAGCTCGAGTCACCATTTCACCTTTATTTTTATACTACAACAGTTGTTTTCGAAGAAACATTACATGAACGGAATACGAAATCAACCATTTTTTTACCTTTCCAAATGCTATATAACTTTTGGGTTACTCGTCTCACGCAGCATTGAAATCACCGAAAATACGTTATTTTTAAATCCCAATTTCAACTCACAATTTTTATTGTTATACCTCAAATTTTAAAGAAAAAATATCTCAACGAATTAATAGAAAACCCAAATTTAAATTAAAAATCACCAAAAATTGGATATTCTTAAACTCTAACATGTTCACCTCACGCTTCATTTTTTTATGAATATACCTCAAACTTCAAGAAATAAAATATCTCAAGGAAATGCTGGAAAAATAAAATTTGATTTCATAAACGTTTGCTCTCCTCGCGCATCATTGAAATTGGTGGCAATCGTAAGCCCGACGTTCGAAATCCCGACGTTTGAAATCCCAACTGTACCGACATCCCGACGTTCGAAATCCCGACTGTATCAAAATCCTGACAACCATAATCCCGACTATATTAAAATCCCGACAACGATAATCCCGAAAATGTCTTCAATAACATTTTAAAATTATTCCGTAGCGTAGTCAGTTTTAAATTGTTATTAATAATAAATAACAACAATTAATAATCTAATTACATTTGAGATTATTTCATAATGTTAAGGTTTATTATGAATAATTCAACAAAATCAAATAAATTAATAATAATTTATTGTTATTAATAATAAAAATGTAGCATAAGGTGATTTAAAAATGTTATTGTAGAAATTTTCGATATTGTCGGGATTTTGATACAGTTTGTCAGGATTATGGTTGTCGAGATTCTGATACAGTCGGGATTATGGTTGTCGAGATTTTGATATAGTCGGGATTTCGATACAGTCTGGATTTCGAACGTCGGGATTTCGATAGACGGTATTTCGGTTGTCGGAAATAAATTGTTATATTATTATTGTTTTGAATGAAAATGTATATTTATTGTTTTAATAAATAATATTAAAATATTAAATATATTATAGAAAAACAAAATATGTTTAAAGGTTTCACGTCAAAAATCCAGAAAGTTTAACTTCCATCTAGCTTTTGTTACTTAACAAATATTAAGAAATTTGTATCTCAAAATAATTTGCCGAAAAAATTTTCCACAGGTTACTCGCTTCATCTAGCATTGAAATCTTCGAAAATTTGTTATTAAAACCCTGCATGTTCCATTCGCTCTTATTATTATATTCAAAATTTTAAAAAAATGTATCAAATGGTTGCTTGCTTCATTTAGCGTTGAAGTCTCTATAAATTCGTTAGCATTAAAAACACACATATTCAATTCGCGTTTGTAATTTATTAATATGTTAAAAAAAATATCTTAAAGAAATATTTAAAAAAGAAAATTAACAAAGGGTTACTCGCTTGGAATAGCGTTGAAATCTCCTAAAAAAAATCATTAAAATCAAGCATATTTCAATCGCGCATTTTACTTTCATTATTATGCTATAAACTTGAAGTAATTTTATATTAAAGGCAAATATTTGTTTAATATTAAAAAAATGTATGTGCAAATTCCATAAAATGAGTTTCTCGCTTGATGCAACACAGAAATGCGGTTTTGTAATTAAATCAAATTCATCTAATTAGTAAAGCTATTGAATATAATATAAATACATTAACCACAAAAAAAAACTTGTTTTAAGAATTTTTATTTTTTAATTAATAAAAAAAATAGGGAAATAAATAAATGCAGCATTGAAATCTCCGATTTCTAAATTAAATTATTATATCTACAAACAGTTTTCCTTTCAAAGTAAAATGAATATTAATAAATACAATCACTTTTCACAAGCTAATTATAAAAATATCTTTGAGATTAACATTAATTATTAATTCAATATATCAATTAGTATTGATTAAATCTGAATATTCATCGACAATAACTCTCCGCATTTCGAATAGAAGAAAAATGTCGCATCTGGCAACCAAATCTTTAAATTGTTTGTTTCAGAAATTAAATTGAACGCACGCAACAATATTAAATTCAACCTTTATACAAGAAGCAAGTGTATTAATATTAACACATGTATATTATAACCAAAGAAAGAATGAAATGCAAGGAGAAACTTTACCAGCTCCGCGTCTCCTAATTAACATGAATGATTAATTTAAAATATTTCTTCTGTTTGTTAACACGTGTACAACGGCACTGGAGGAACGCGTTTCCGAATAAATCATTCGTTCGATATTTACACATTCAATATTAGACAGCCAAATAAATATCACATTTGAAAAATGTGGATTGAAATACTATTACCAATACGTTATTATTTGAATATCCTCTCTAATTCTATTTGTACAAAGATTGTACAATAAGTAAAATTGTAGTAAACTTGGTTTAAGTATATGAGAAAAAATATAATGTCATTTTTTTTATATTTTTTTTGATAAAGAATTCATAAAAGATTTTTTTATTTAGTTATTGAAAATAATCTGTTAGAAATCAAATGATCGTAAATTGTAATAATTGATATATCGATTAATCATTGAGAAAAACAAATCCATGAAACAAAATTGTAAGTTAACAAATTAATGAATGACTTGACGTTTGCTTATTTGTAGAATGTTAAATGACCCGTTACAATGATTCATGTATATTTTTTTTACTTCACACCTTTTTTTATTTCTAATTATTTATGTAATTTTATAATTGTTGCGTTATGAAATATTGTTATTTTTAATATTAAAATAAGTTTTTAACTGTTTTTGCTAACGGTTGTGAAGGATTGTTATAATGTTGCGATTAACGCCTTGCAGCAAAAAAAAAAAGATAATCATACTGTGCATATATTTGCATGAAATTAATTTAACGCTAATTGCGTATGCGGGTATAAGTGTTATTGTTTGTGACTTAATTAATAGTTTTCAGCGTGGTAAGTACGCAAGAAAGAATGTTTGGCGAAAAATTCTAGCCCCATTGTGTGTCATAGAGAGGCGCGATAATGTCGGGCGATTTCAACGGTCGATCAGATAGAAAACCCGGCCGTCCACGTAAAAAAAAGCGGTCCGAGTTAACAGTGTTCGTTTTTATTTTGTTGCTTTTTGTTTTTTTCTTTGGTCGCCTCTTGGTCTTCTTATATATATATTTTTTCGTCTTCTTCTTCGGTTTTTATCCTCCTGACTTCTTCTTCTGCCGTCGTCGTTGTTCGCCTCTTCTTCTGCTTTAAAGTCGAGTTGTATTTCTTATAATGTGCCGAGTCGGTCTATTCTTAACCCGAGTCCGATGATGATGATGGTAGGTAAGGTAGGTAGGTAGATAGGTAGAGAAGGAGTGCGAGTGTCTTGAATGGGGGGAGGTTTGGTGGAAGAGAAGAGATGGAGGAGGAAGGGACAGGTAAGGACTGGAGCGAGTCCGTGGCCTTGTGGATGCGGCGAGCAGTCAAACGGCGAGCGGCGAACGGAACGGTCGCGGCATGCTAAACGCTGCTCTTAAAGTGGTCTTACAATGGTGTAGCGGATCAGAAGAAAGAACGGGTACGATATGGGCACCGCGGTGGTGTGCATCGTCTTATTCGCAACGATCTTCGGCGCGCTGTCCGACTCCCAGGGCTCCAGCCTGAACAACTACGAGGGCCTGCAGGAATGTCACTCCGTGGTGGACAGCGACAACGACATCACCGTCGTTTGCCGGCTAAAGACAATTAATAGTGAATTGGAGTTTTGGAACTTCAACAAGATCCATTTGAAACAAACGGTGCGGCTGAAGTTGGAGTGCAGCGATGCTCTCTTCTTCCAGAGTAACCTGAAGGCGGGCAGCTTCAAGGACCTGGTGGAGCTGCGCGAGTTGTCCATCGAGTACTGCAAGTTGGGCAATCTCTCGGACGTCGCGTTCAGAGGTCTCCGGGAGCTAAGAAATCTAACGGTCCGTACTCACAATACCGATTGGTCCGCGGTGAGTCTGGACATTTCGTCGAACACCTTCGCGGAGGAGCTCCGCCAACTGGAGCGACTCGACCTCAGCGAGAACAACATGTGGACGATGCCCGAAGGAGTGCTGTGTCCTCTAAAATCCCTGGAGTTCCTCAATCTGACGCGCAACCGGTTGCGAGAGGTATCCAGTTTCAACTTCGTATCGTCGAGTCCGTCGGAGAGGTGCGGTGCTAGTCTTAGATTACTCGACTTATCTCGTAACAACATCGACCGGCTGGCTTCGGGTCAAATGTCCACGCTGGTTAACCTGCAGAAGCTCTACCTTCAAGAGAACGGTCTAACACAACTAGCTGATCGTGCCCTCGAAGGGCTAGTGAACTTAAATGTCCTGAAACTCTCTGACAATCGCCTGGTCAGTCTCCCGCCAGAACTATTCTCCGACACGCGGGAGATCCGCGAACTCTACCTGCAGAACAACTCCATCAATGTGCTAGCTCCTGATCTCTTCCGACCACTGGTCCAACTCTTAGTGCTGGATCTCTCCAACAACGAACTCACAGCCGACTGGATTAACTCCGCCACGTTTAGCGGATTAGTGCGTTTAGTGGTCCTGGATCTTTCCTTCAATCGTATCAAGAAACTCGAGCCATCTGTGTTCCGCGATTTGTATAATCTACAATTCTTAAGACTGAACGACAACAAAATCGACAATTTACCCACCAACACATTCTCCGAGCTGAGCAATCTTCGTACGCTGTACATATCTAACAACATGTTGACACGTATAAACGCCGATACATTTAGCGGACTGAAAATGCTGTTAGCGCTTTTCTTGGATCGCAACCGGATTTCCTTTATCCACCACGAAGCTTTAATGAACTGCCCGCAATTAGATGCACTACATTTGAACGGAAACATACTATCGCGCGTGCCAGAAGTTATCTCCAATGTGCCATTGCTGAAAACCCTAGATTTGGGCGAGAACCTTATCAACGTGATTACCAACGACACCTTCGCAGACATGAGCGACCTTCAGGGTCTTCGACTCACAGAAAATTACATCGGAAATTTAACCAAAGGCGTTTTTGATAAAATGACTTCACTCAATTTGCTAAATCTCTCCGGTAATAAAATAAAGGAAGTATCTCCAGGAACCTTCGATACCAACGAAAACCTTCAAGTGATCAGACTGGATGGTAATTATCTAACAGACATCACCGACTTATTCAGCAAATTACCGAAACTGGTATGGTTAAATATATCGGATAATCAGCTTCAGAAATTCGATTATGCTATGATTCCGAGCGGACTCCAATGGTTGGACATACATGCCAATCAGATTAAAGAATTGGGGAATCGATTTCTGCTGGAAGATCAACTTTCGCTTGAATTAATAGAGGCAAGTTGTAACCAATTGACTGAGATTATCGGGACTTCGATTCCGAACAGCGTACATGAGTTATTCCTTAGCTACAATTTAATTTCGAAAGTGCAATCCTACACGTTCTTCAAGAAAACGAATTTAACTAAAGTGGATTTGTATGGAAATAAGATTACTAATTTGGATCAGAATTCGTTGAGAATCATGTCGGTGCCGGCTGATAAGGAGCTGCCGAAATTCCATATCGGAGGTAATCCGTTTTCTTGTGATTGTACGATGGAGTGGCTGCAGAAGGCGAATTTGAATAAAGTGAGAACGCAACCGATGCTGGTCGATCTTGAAAGCATCTATTGCCAGCTCTTGTATAATAGAGGAGGATCCTATGTGCCGCTCGTGGAGGCTGCTCCTCATCAGTTCTTGTGCACGTACGAGGCGCAATGCTTAACAACCTGTCAGTGTTGCGATTTCGACGCCTGCGACTGTAAGGTAACCTGTCCGAAGAACTGCACTTGTTACCACGATCAGATGTGGAGAAACGCGAATGTCGTGGACTGCTCATCGAGTGGATACGTGGAGGAGCTGCCGGAAAGGATCCCGATGTCCGCCACTCAGCTGTACTTGGATGGGAACGATTTGAGAGCGCTCGTGAGCCACGCGTTCATCGGCCGCAAAACTCTCAAAGTGCTCTTCCTGAACAACTCGAACATAGAGAACATACACAACCGCACGTTCAACGGATTGCACCATCTCGAGGTTCTGCATCTCGATGGAAATCGGATCGCAGAGTTGTACGGACACGAATTCGAGGGTTTGGATAGTCTGAGGGAGATATTCCTTCAATACAACCGGATCACCCATTTGAATGGGACTACATTCACGGGACTGAAGCATTTGCGAATTCTGAAGCTGGATCACAACAGGATCAGTGAGTACAGTGTGTGGTATCTTCCGAACACTTTATCCGAGGTGACCCTGGCCTCGAACCCTTGGTCTTGCGACTGTGAGTTCACCGAGAAGTTACGTGAGTGGATGGTACGCGGCGGTGATGTAGTTACAGACTTGAATAATGTGCGTTGCGTGTACAACACAACAGACGTGGACTTCTATAATGAGAACATGTACGCGGATAACGCGGATCTCGGGTTCTATGTGAGCCAGCAGGAAAACAACGGAACCCTTTGCACGGGCGCAGCGAACATGGACAACAGCATCAACGGCAATCTAACTATCATCAAGAGACACGCCTTGGAGGATTATCTGCCGCCGCTTGTGATCACGCTATCCGCGCTCGGCGTCCTCCTCGTCACCAGTCTGCTGGTCTTCATATTCAGACAGGAAGTGCGCGTGTGGTGTCATTCTAAATTCGGTGTCCGTCTGTGTCACAAGTCAGCGGACTTCGATCGCGACGATCGCGATAAACTGTTCGACGCCTTCGTCAGCTACAGCTCGAAGGATGAAGCTTGGGTGGCGGAGGTCCTGGCTCCGGCTCTCGAACCCAACTACAAACTGTGCCTTCACTACAGGGACTTCCCCGTCGGCGCATTCCTCGCCGATACTATAGTCCAAGCGGTCGAATCCTCAAAGCGCACGATCATGATCCTCTCAGAGAACTTTATCAAATCGGAGTGGTGTCGTTTCGAGTTCAAGTCCGCGCATCACCAGATCCTGCGCGACCGTCGCCGCAGGCTCATCGTCATCCTGCTAGGAGAAGTGCCGCAGAAGGATCTCGACCCCGACATCAGACTCTACCTAAAGACCAACGTCTATCTCCAGTGGGGCGACAAACTCTTCTGGGAGAAGCTCAAATTCGCGCTTCCGGACGTTCCAACAGGACAGCGAAGGCGCGGTTCTCAAAGAGTTCCGCACGTACACCATCACGTCCATCGACATGGAGCAAGGACGCAACAACCAGGAACTGGTCCAGGAGTTGGCGGAGGAGGAGGAGGCGTAGGCGGCGGAGTCACCGGAGGCGGTGGAAATTGCACCGGAACACCGCGCACAGTCGCCATACACATCTAAGAAATTGTGATATATGATATGACTAAAAGTTTTTAAGTGTTGCGAGTGTGCAATCTCTTCCTTCATAATATTTTTGTTTACATTCCCGTTATTCCGTGCGCGCACCAAGTGATAGTATACTAAAAAAAAAGAGTGAAAGAGTGAGAATGTTTCGAAACTCGTCGGACGAAAAAGAAGGACCCCGAGAGTATAAGAAAGCAAAAAAAAAACAGCATTTAAGCAGATTAATTATAATAAACAATGTATATATTAAAGGACTTGTATAGAAGCTAAGTACTTGTAAATCTATTCTTCTAATTCTATCGATTTGTCGCAAAAAAAAGAATATCAATAAATTTTGTACATATAATCTTATTTCTCCCAATATTTATTGTTAACTATATGCTATGCGAAATAATGATAATAAACGAGAAAAAATTCGAAATCCAACTATAATCTGTTTTTACTCCGCTCGAGAAACGAGATAACTAACTTTCCCCCCTTTTTCAACCATTTATTTCTTATTTTCAAGTAAACGAAATTTACGGCACAGCCGACCAAACAATGTCCGCGAAATGCTGCAGAGATCTTATCGATCGCAGCCGCTTTAAGGACAAAAAGAAGACGACGCATCAGCAACAAGAAGACGAAGAAGTTACACAACAACAACAAACATAAAAAAAGAACGAACGAAGCAACCGACGACCCTTTAATTTATGTCAATGAACGTCCTTTTAATTAAAACGTTAAAGATAAATCGAGAAAATATTCAAAATAAACGACACAAAGGACATAGACATTGTGTTGAGCAACGTGTGCATACATCACTGAAATTAATTATTTAAATGAATAATATAATATATTATATATTTTTGTGAGAAATTTCTTAATTCCAAACCCGTTGTAAGAATAAATTAAAGAACAGCGCAAACGGCAGGCAATCAACGTTTCTACTTAATTATCTAAGTCTCTTTGAAAAACCTATTTAAAGGGATATTAAAATGGTGCTTTTAATTGCGTTCTTCGCTTGCATAGCCTTGCAATACAGATAATACACATTTGAGAGAGAAAATTAAAATTAAGATTGTTTTGCTAATGAAATTCTTAACGTCGTCCGCGACGGACATTCGAGCAAGATCCCATTTCGCTACGTGCCTAATTGAAAATTAAACAAATTTATTTCACTACGCGAGAAATACACGGGAAGAAGACACGCCGACTCTCATCTATCTACGTTTTACCATTTTCACAACAATTATCCGAGTAAACACTACTTCTCTTCCTCGCCGTTACGTTGCATCATATAAATACCATCCAGGTGCATCGAACCAATCAATAAGTACAGTTCCTCTCTAAGAAGACAAACAATAAGTAAGCATACATTACTATTATTTTTACCATATTTTCATTTATTTATTTCATTTAAAAACAACCTCAACCATTTTAATATTTTAGACTTTTACTATAAAATAAAACTTCCACATTGTATTTTCTCCACATTTTACAAAATAATAAGTTTAAATTTCATTTTTCAGTAGAAAATTTAGAACTTTATTTTAAAATTTATTAATAAAACAAATATTTAAAAAAAAAACTAAACTTTCTTATCATAGCTAAATAATCTTTTTAAAATATCTTTTAAGATAAAAAAAAATGATAATTTCTAAATTAATTCCTGAATCAATAAGAATTTTGATTGATGAAAGAAATTGTAGTAATCATTTTTATAAGATTTACTTATAAATTAACTTAATATAATTATAAAAATATAATTAGTACATGTATTATGTAACTGTCAATATTTTTCTTAATGTTTATAATATTTTTTAAAGTTCATAATAATTTTAATTGAAACTTAAAGGTTGGTTGTTAAAAAAATATGTTATACAAAACATAAACAAAATTAATTTTACAATTTGTTAAGTTAATATTTTGATTGAAAGTTAAGGTTCAGTTGTTTGGATAATGTTTTTAGTTGGAGGTAGAAGGAAGTATGCAAAGTGTAATAATAGATGCATATTCATAATATGCGGTTGAAGCAGATGAAATTAAGATGTATCTCGCAGATTATTGAAGCGGAGAAAGAAAGATGAATTACGCAATCTCCTATTTAAACAATACGCTCCGTCGATCAGCGACATTATTGCGCCCCGTCCACAGTAATTACAATAATGTAGAAGGAATTGTCTGATTGTGTTCTCCGTGCTGTTCTTTGTAGACACTAGAGGAGGCAGAAGAAGTAGTAGAATAATAAGAAGAAGTAAGCATAGGCAACGACCTCGGAAGAGAAAACAAAACCCGGTGGAGCCAGGCGAGGATAGACGGACGAGGAAAGCGAGATACACCTCTGACAATTTATACCTCGATCAGAGCGAGATACAACTGCGTACACCTACTACGACGATGAAGCGATCTTAATATACTCGAACGAACGAAATAAATAATAGCAAGCGAAAAACAACGAGTAAACGAACAACAATCATGGGAAACGAGGAGAGATGAAAACCTTCTCTCCTTTTTTTATATACATATATATATCCTCTTTGATGCAGGTTCATTATTACAGTTACTTTCCGGATTATTAATTTTACATAATTTTAATTCGGCCGACGATGGACCGAAACCCGATTGGCAATAAAGGAGATCGTGAACAATTTCATTTAACGACTGTTGATGGAAACGAGAGGATCGCAAAACAACAACAGCAAAAACAAAAATGGAGTTTGTGTGTGTATGTGTAATGAAGAAAAAAAGTAAATGAACGAGAGAAAAAGAGGAAGAGTGGTGAGAGATGGAGAAAGGCAGATTACTCGATGAAAGAAGGATTAAATTGAAACGAGGATTGTTGACCTTTGGCCCACAAACTAATTTCGAATTCCGAATGGCGCTTTTCTTACGCCGTTGAGGAAGTGGGGGACCACGGCCAAAGATCACGAATCGGGTATATTAATTGCAGCGTTAAAACGAAAATAGAAGAAATCCATATTGTTAGATGGAATAGTCTATATCAGTGTTTCCCAACGTGGGGCCCACACCCCCATTCTTAACCGCGTGGCGTATTATGTATATATTACGGGTCTATATCGCAAGCCCGACAACCGAAGAACGTCAACGTTTGAAATCCCGACGTTCGAAATCCCGACTGTATCGAAATCCCGACTATATCAAAATCTCGACAACCATAATCCCGACTGTATCAGAATCTCGACAAACATAATCCCGACTATATCGAAAATTTTTACAAAGCATTCTTAAATTATTTCGGAGCATAGTCACATTTTGATACAGTCGGGATTATGGTTGTCAGGATTTTAATATAGTCGGGATTTTGATATAGTAGAGATTATGGTTGTCGGGATTTCGATACAGTCGGCATTTCAAACATCGGGATTTCCAATGTCGGGAATTTGGTTGTCGGGCTTGCGATTGCCATAGGGTGGCATAAGAATTTTATTGGTGGGACATGGTACAACAAAGGTTGTCAACCACTGGTCTATAAAGAAATCAAGTTAAAAAATGTTTAATTAGAGAAATAATTCATAGATTTAGTTACAACGAAATATAAAAATAGTAATAAATAAATACACTAATATGAATTAGATTTAATACAAATATGTCGAGACAGAAATTATGAGTTTATTTTATACTAAATGACAATAGAATGTATAGACTTGGAGAAAAGTAATATCAATTTAATATTTAAAAATTTACAACAGTTTAAATTCTATAAAATTCTACTTTGAATTAGATTTATTTTTTTTAGGTTTAAATTAGATATGAAAAATAAATAGTAAAAGCTTACAATATTGTAAATTAGTCATAAAGTTCAGATTTTTTTATACAGATTTTTAGCAAAAAGTTGATATAAAATATAAAAAAAAACATAATTGATACATCATTTTTAATTATTGATAATTGTTATTGAATAATAGTTTTCAATTCATTAAATCAAAGTAAATTAATTTTAATAGGATGTAATAATTTAGAAAAACCAATGTAGCATAACAACGGAAATAGAATAAATTACGTAAAGTTACGGTCAAATACGTCAATATAACATTTCTAAACAGCGGAATTAAGTAATTAAATATAGAAGTAGTTTTAAATTAAGTTTATTTGTAAAAAAATGAAAATTTAGATAAGCCAAATTACAAAGAAACTAATGATAATTTAAGATTTATTATGTTTAATTTTTTATGAAAATAATTTTGAAAAAAAAAAATTAAACTAAAATTACTAATATGATTTATAAATGAAATTCTTATATTATTATTATTTTTATATATAAATTTGCTAAACTTAATAAATTAAGAATAATTAATTAAATTTATCGGGTAGATTCAAAGCATAAACTCCTTAAGTGCATGCTTAAGTTTTATTATCCAACATCAGAGTTACTGAAAAGGTAACATGAATAAGTCTCCTTAGGCTATTTTATTACTCAATTTACTTTTAACAGTTGTTCTGAATAACATCGTTTTGCACTTACTAAAAACCTAGAGCAAACACGATTAAACAATACCGCATTTCTGCTTCGGTACCTTTATACAAATTTCTTGTTACTTTTGTTGCAACAACAAATATTGAATCTACAATGAATATTCATTAAACAAAGATTATCTAAAGATAATTTATAAATTTAAAATAAAATCGTTAGAATTAGAGAATATATTCAATAGTAAAGTTTTACTTGTAACTCTGAATTATTTAAGAGATACATTTTTAATTCCATAATTAATTACAAAAAGTACACGTCTAATGTATAATGAAAATACAACTAATTATAGATGTATTGTCTGAATAGAAAATTTTATAAATCTCTGTGTATTTATAAAAATATTAATGTTCTTATACAATTATACCAAAGTTATAGGAAAATCTCTTTAAAATATTCGATAGAATAAAAATGTTTCTCATGCCTCCAACACGCAAGTTTATTTTAATTAACTAAGGTGTAATAAATAATAATTGTATGCACAATTGAAAATAGTTATGACATACAATGAAATTTTAATATTCTATTCTTACTTTGTTAATACATGTGTCATAAATGACAGATTCATAGAAGTTCTTAGTTGATGAAAAGTTATGGAAGAAACATCCTAACAAATGTTGACGTTAGTGTATATAATCCCAGATACATCTTGTTATATTATTATAGTATTGATAAGTATTATGATGGTTACTCATATAGTATTGATAAACATGTATTAACATATGTCCATAACTCATTTCCAGTATTTGTCGCTTCATAAAATGTAGTATTTAGTCGTAAGTAGATGTGATAGTCATACTCAAAGAAACCTTACTACTTAACACTTGTCAAGTT